AGGTGTCCAATCTGCTACTGGGAAGAGCAGAGGGCTAGTACTAGTAGCAGCAGAAAGAATGAAGCGACTGGGCCAAAGCCGAAAGGACGCTCAGCTGTGGATATATCTGGTGGTGAAAGGAAAGTCCGATGCTGTAAAGATTTTTTTTCCATAGGAACCTGGAATGTAAGATCCATGAATCAAGGCAAGCTAGACGTAGTCAAAAAGAGATGACAAGACTGAACATTGACATCTTAGGAATCAGCGAACTAAAATGGACAGGAATGGGTGAATTTAACTCAGATGACCATCAGGTATACTACTGTGGGCAAGAATCCCTCAGAAGAAATGGAGTAGCCTTCATAGTCAATAAAAGAATAGGAAAAGCAATACTGGGATACAATCCCAAAATGACAGAATGATCTCAATTCGAATCCAAGGCAAACCATTCAATATCACAGTAGTCCAAATCTATGCCCCAACCACTGGTGCTGAAGAGGATGAAATTGACCGGTTCTATGAAGCCCTACAGCACCTTATAGAATTAACACCAAAAAAATGATGTCCTTATCATCATGGGGGATTGGAATGCTAAGGTAGGAAGCCAAAAGATAACCGGAATAACAGGCAAGTTTGGCCTTGGAATACAAAATGAAGCAGGGCACAGGCTAATAGAATTTTGTCAAGAGAATACGATGGTCATAACAAAACACTCTTTTCCAACAACCCAAGAGACGGCTCTACACATGGACATCACCAGACGGTCAACATAGAAATCAGATTGACTATGTACTCTGCAGCCAAAGATGGAGAAGCTGTATACAGTCAGTAAAAACAAGACCAGGAGCTGACTGTGGCTCAGATCATGAGTTCTCGTTGCAAATTTAGGCTTAAATGAAAAAAGTAGGAACAAGCCACTAGGCAATCAGGTAGAATTAAATCATATCCGATGAATATAACAGTTGAGGTGACAAATAGATTAAGGAAATTAGATTGCCTGCTAGACAGATTGCCTGCAGAATTATGGATGGAAGTTCGCAACATTGTACAAGAGGTAGACTAAAACCATCAAAAGAAAAAGAAAGGCAGAAAGCAAAATGGCGTTGAGGAAGCTTTGCAAATAGCTGAGGAAAGAAGGGAAGCAAAAGGCAAAGGAGAAAGAGAAAGATACACCCAACTGAATGCAGAATTCCAGAGAATAGCTAGAAGAGATAAGAATACCTTCTTAAATGAGCAGTGCAAATAAATAGAAGAAAACACCAGAATAGGGAGGACCAGAGATCTCTTCAAGAAAATTGGAGATATGAAGGGAACGTTCCATGCAAAGATGGGCATGATAAAGGACCAAAATGGCAGAGACCTAACAGAGGCAGAAGAGATTAAGAAGAGATGGCAAAACTACACAGAAGAACTATACAAGAATGAGCTTAACATCCAAGATAACCACAATGAGATGGTCACTGACCTCAAACCAGACATCCTAGAATGTGAAGTGAAATGGGCCTTAGAAAATCTGAGCAACAACAAAGCTAGTGGAGGTGACAGTATTCCAGCTGCGCTATTCAAAATCTTAAAAGACGATGCAGTAAAAGTGCTACACTCATTTTGCCAGCAAATTTGGAAAACTCAACAGTGGCCACAGGATTGGAAAAGGTCAGTTTACATTCCAATTCCAAAGAAAGGCAATGCCAAAGAATGTTCAAAACTATGCTACCAATTGACACTCATTCAAGCTAGTAAACTTAGCTTAAAATCCTACAAAGCTAGACTCCAGCAGTTGTAGATCGAGCAAACTTACCAGAAGTACAGGCAGGGCAGGATTTCGAAGAGGCAGAGGAACTAAGATCAAATGCAACATACGCTGGATCAAGAAGAAAGCTAGGGAGTTCCAGAAAAACATCTACTTCTGCTTCATTGACTATGCTAAAGCCTTTTATTGTGTGGATCACAACAAATTGTGGCAAGTTCTTAAAGAGATGGGAGTACCAGACCATCTCATTTGTCTCTTGAGAAACTTATATGCGGGTCAAGAAGCAACAGTGAGAACTGGACACGGAACCATTGATTGGTTCAAAATTGAAAAAGGAGTCCGGCAAGGCTGTATACTGTCGCCCTGCCTATTTAACTTATATGCAGAACACATCATGAGAAAGGCAGGGCTAGATGAATCAAAAGTTGGAATTAAGATTGCCGGGAGAAATATCAACAACCTAAGATATGCAGATGATACCACTCTAATGGCAGAAAGTGAAGAGGAACTAAAGAGCCTCTTGATGCGGGTGAAGAAGGAGAGTGCACAAGTTGGCTTGAAACTCAACATTAAGAAAACCAAAATCATGGCATCCGGCCCTCTCAATTCCTGGCAAATAGATGGGGAAGAAATGGAGGTAGTGACAGATTTTATTTTTCTGGGCTCAAAGATCACCTCAGATGGGGACTGCAGCAAGAAATTAAAAGACGCTTGCTCCTGGGGAGGAAAGCTATGGCAAATCTAGACAGCATACTAAAAAGCAGAGACATCACCCTGCCAACAAAAGTGCATATAGTCCAGGCCATGTTTTTCCCAGTTGCAATGTATGGCTGTGAAAGTTGGACCATAAGAAAGGCTGAGCGCAAAAGAATTGAGGCCTTTGAACTATGGTGCTGGAGAAGACTCCTGCTAGTCCCTTGGACTGCAAGGCGTTCGAACCGGTCAGTCCTAGAAGAGATCAACCCCGACTGCTCTTTAGAAGGCCAGATCCTGAAGTTGAAACTCAAATACTTTGGCCACCTAATGAGAAGGAAGGACTCACTGGAGAAGGGCCTAATGCTGGGAAAGATTGAGGGCAATAGAAGAAGGGGACGACAGAGAATGAGATGGCTGGATGGAGTCACTGAAGCAGTAGGTGAGAACTTAAATGGACTCCAGAAGATGGTAGAGGATAGGAAGACCTGGAGGAACGTTGTCCATGGGGTCGCGATGGGTCGGACACGACTTCGCAATTAACAACAACAACATATCCATCAAATGCTGCCAATAGTGGCATAGAATTTTGTAATGCTAGGTGTGGTATAGAAGTATCATCCTCTAGAAATTAGACATAGGCCAAATTAGACCTTTGGTCCATCAGTGCATTAAGGGAAAAATAAGCCTAGCCATTATATCTTTATAAAATGGGCAATAGAAAATTACTTGTTTCCAAGTTTTTATTTTTCCTGTGTCACAGAGACAAAACCTTTTAACTATTGGGCATCTTTATACCAGTACACAGAGAGTAATATTTAGGACCTCATTAGGATAAAGCTAATTTATCTAAATCAACAGGAAATCATTCTCAAATAAAATGAGGGGCAAGATGGAGACAAAGGATGCATGCATGCTAGGTTCTTTCTCATAGCTCACTCGGCCAGCCATCCCTCCTTTTTGGAATGCAGCAACTTGTGAGGGATGGCAGAAGCAGCTATTTCAAACTGGCCTGCGAAATTTCACTTTTATGCTTGCACTCTTTTAAATAAATTTGTTTCCATGTTGTTCTTTTTACCTTTCCTTTGCAATTTGTCATGTCTTTACCATTATATTATAAGTTTATGGACAAAGTATTATTTCAAGTTAGCAGTTTTGATGATGAGCATGGTGATAATAATGGCTGTATGTTTTGGTTTAAGCATAAAAATGGTCTACTGTTAGTATAGCCACAGGAATATTCCTGTTCTTGATTGCTGAAAAAGATGAACTGTCCACAAACACAGGTTTGCAGTATTTAGAAGTAAGAAAATAATACAAGATTAGGAAAACTGACCAAGAGTAGTAATGTATCTGAAATATATTAGCAAAATTAATTTAGAATAAGGAAGGGGCTGCTTGCTTGTGTGGCATTGGGGGAAGCATAGATACAAGGTGATACATAATTGGTGAGGTCCGAGAGAGGCTAGAGCTATATATAAACCTGCACATATATTATTCAAAGAAAAAAAATACAAAATTATTTTTCTCTTGTATTGTTATAATTATAAATTTGTTTTACAAAAACCTAACTTATATTCTTTACACTTACAGAAATCTCAGTAGCTGACACAGATTAATGAAGAAAAAAATTAAAATATGATATATATATTTAAAATAAACTTGTAATGAGCACATGCAATTGCCAAGAATTCAGAAGTCATTCCTGAGAAAAATTATGCCTTTTTATTCACCCTGCATGTTGAAAATATTAGGATGGATGTTAGAGGACTAGAGCATCAATGCACAGCAGTCTGATATTCCACATAAAAAGAAGAGAAACAATACATAAGTGCTTAATTTCTCACCATATGGTACACGTGCGTGGCTACCATTCGCTATATTATCTGATACTCCAGCGTCTTCTGTTCCACAGCTAGTCAGGGGAATAGTACTTTCATCACTTTCTTTTACACCAGGAAGTTCTTTAAAGACAGGCATATCCTCTTCTTGAATTTTGTCAATGCTTTCATCAGATATTTTTGATAGTGCACTTTCCTTCTTTAAACGACCTAGATAAAATAATAATTAATTTACAGAAATACCTTTCAGAGACAACATGACTGATGTCCTTTAAGCAGTGATACAATGATTTACTATTTTGTTAGCTAGAAATACAGTTCATGCATAACTTCACAATAAAACAGAAAATGTTTTTTAGCATAATCACCATCTATTTAGTTTGGAATATGAAACTTTAATCTGTCTTTTTTAATTCTTCCTTCAAAGTATGTTGTAAAGAAAAATATTTTTGCCAGGACCAAAGCATTCTGCAATTAGTTAAAAGCAATTTTGTATAACTTAATTCATTTTATACACCATTTGTACTTCTTGTACATAATAAAATTACATTTGGGGTCATGATATGTAATTTTTAAAATGCAAGCAATAGAATACCAGTCTTATAGCACCCAATAAACAAATACTTATAGCGTCTTATTAAAATATTTTAGCAGTGTTCTTGAAGTCCTCCTGTGAAAGATTTAAAATAAGATTATTTCAATCCATCATTTTATGAAAAAACATACTTGCTATTTTTCTTTTCATCCATGGACATACAAATATCCACACTAAGGCAGCAAATACAATTGATACACCAACTGATATCAGTGCTATTGCCCACATAGGAAGTGTAATTCCTAGGACTGAAAAAAAAAAGATGTTATGCTTTAGAGAGGATCTGGAATATTGTTTCAGAAATATAAGACATTAAATCAAAAAATTAAGTCACTTTCTTTTTAAAACAAGGATATAAATTCTGTTTTGCAAAAATGTTGATATTATTAAATACAAGTTTAATAAGTTCAGTTGTCATATTTTTCTATGTAATCCAAAAAAGGGATGGGATGCAGAACATTGCATCCCATCTCTTTTTTGGATTACATAGAAAAATATATTATGACAACTGAATTTATTAAACTTGTATTAAAATTATAAAACATGAGCAATATTATGTGCCAGATTTAATGTTAACTTCTCATAAGGAGATATAGAATTCTTGTACTAATTCACTCAAATAAAAAATGTATATCTACAACAATTGCTGTTTTTCAAGCAAATATTGCAAGTATTGAGGCTAATAGGGCCAACACTGAAATGTTCAAAATTTCAATGTTCAAGACATTGAAAAAAGTCATAACTTTTGTTATATCCCAAGAGATGAGGATTAGTAGGAAGCTGATCACCCCAGAAAGTGCCTGTCTGGCCTTACATTTTTAAGGTATTATTATAGAGAGCTTTCACCTTGGCTCAGTTTAATGCTCTATTCTCAGCAGCCATACTATAGTGGAAAAGTCTAAAATACGCCCATTTTGCAGTGAATAGCCATGGCAACTATACCTTCAATGGGAACTATCCAGTGGTGGGATTCAGCCTATTCACACCAGTTTGGCAGAACCGGTAGCTAATTTTTTGTTGTCCAGGCCCAGAATGGACTTCCAGAAACGGCATCCACACAGAGAACCAGTTGTTCACATATTTGAATCCCACCACTGGAACTATCCCACACTTCTTATAAACAAACAACAAAAGCTTTTAGTGCTGAGTTATTTCAAGTGGCAATGTCACATGCAAATGGGCCAAATTTATTATTTCAACATATGCATGATTCTACGTTAAGGATTTATTTAATCAGCAGTCCTTTTGGAAAAATCTTTGCTTGCGGACATTATCCTTTTGATAGAAATAAAAGCCAGTCTAAATTAAAGTGGGAAGAATACAAATTATATTCTGTGTCACAAAGGACAATACAATCTTTTCACAGTAGACTTCATCTACTCACCTGGAGCACCTGTATACATTATGGAGAACACATTAATAGTTATTGTAGCAGCATAGAACACTGGAAGGGCACGAAGACCATTTGGTACTGGATCTTCCTACATTAAAAGAAATATTTTTATATGTAATTGATAAAATCAGATTGTTTTTTAAAAAAATCAATGCATTATGCTCTAAACATTTTTAATACAAAAATTATTTCAGTCTGCTTGGAAAAACACTGCAGTGATCAAAAGGTAACCTGTGGCTTCGAATTTTGACATCAGCCCCATCAGCATAAGCACAAAATGAGAATATACAATGTTGATCTGCTGTATGATTTAATTTTAAAATTATAGAAGGTAAATTTTGGCTGGTTCTATTTTCTCCCCTAGAAAAGGCAAAAATTGCAATTGATATTGAATATACATAAATGTTTGTCACTAGGGAGACATATAATTTTATACACACACACACACACACACACACCTCATATAGAACAAAAAAAATGATGGTCCCATCAGCCCAGAAGAGTAAAGTACATACTTCATTTTATAGAATGGTAAGATTCGAAGATCTGAACTATTTCCACTAAACTAAATACATTCCCTACCTATTCCATAACTTATTATTCTCTTACCTGTCTTGCTAGTTCAGCAATCCATTCAGGATTAAGTATACAGAAAGTTATCTTGAACAAACATTACAAAGCATTAGACAAAGTTCTACAAGAACTCACCTCCCAAGTAAAAATGGGACAGATACAACTATCAAGAGATGTTTGCCCTCTTCATAAATTACCAAGGAGTTTAACAGCCAAACAGATTTAATGTTTGCTATTATGTATTATATAATCGCTGAGAGGAATGATAGTTCAAAATATTGCTTTTTTGAGCTGCTTCCAAGAACTTTCACCTTACCATATACCATATTATCTATTGCCAAGGATCAGCTGCTAAGATAGCATCTTTCTTTGTAATGCTGTAGCTTCAATAGAAAGCCCTCCATTTTCAAGGAAATATTTAAATCCTACGGTAAACTCTTCACTTTTTTCTTACCATTTATGCAAGGGAAAATACAAAGACTTGCTAGGGAGCAAGTTTAGTATGCCAGAAATAAGGGACAGTGAACAATGGACTTCTATCTCCCTACCTTTCATTTTTAACATAATGGTAAAAGACCAGAAATGTGTCTATTTTTAAGTTTAGTAACTGTTATTAGCACAAGATCTATGTCTGGTTTTCTTACACTTCCTATAACTGACACCAATGTTGTACGAGGGAAAATAAAGGAAGTGAAGATGTGAAAAGGCAAATAAAAAAGAACAGAAGGACAACAATTGGAGAAAGAAATAGAACTTCATGATCAGTAGGGACAAAGGAATCAGGACACAAAATGTTTTCTTTTTCAAAATTTCATATTTTTATCTATTTATTAAACTTAATACAATCTACTTTCATTATTTAATTTCCATTTGAAAATATGAAGTTCTTTTTTAGCAAGCTGTATTTTTTAAATCAATAAAATATAGCAATTCAATTTCATTTCATAAATAAAATTAATACAGTTGTGGGTTTTATTCCAGGCTGTTATGGAGGATTACTCTAATGTAAAAAAAATTCGGATCAAGTATGTACTTATTTACATCTGGGGCAAATGTTTCTCTGCCAAATAAGAACATATTGCACAAAATAAGGAAGATTTTTTTCTGAGAGGAGGCTGAGTCTTGCATTATTAGAGAGGTCAGATCAGCTTTGCCACTACAGTAGCTTGAGTAGAAAAAATATATACCTAAAGCAGAGGTGCCAAGCTTAATTTCATTGAGGACCGCATCAGCATTGTGGTTGCCCTTGGAGGGGCCAGGTGGGTGTGGCTAGCATGGGCGTGGTTTACTGGGTAGGTGTGGCTGGGGTATGCAGGGCCTACTGAGTGGGCATGACTAGCTTGACATCGCTCGCGTCAGGGGCGCCTGTGCAGGCCTGGGGTGGATCTAAGGGTCTCTAGCGGAGAAGGAGTGCCAGGACATCGTTCACTAGAGGAGCCTCACCGTCCCTCTCAGGCCATGCGGGGGCCCCCCAGATGGTGGCATGGGCTGCCCAGAGCCTTGGACAGTGGAGGTCAAGCACCTAGCTCTTGAGTTCAGGGACCCCGCAGCCCAGCCTAGCCTAGCCCCACTTCCCCAAGGGGCACCCAGCTGCGCTTACCTCCTCCACGAGGCTGCTGCTGCTGTGCTCGCTCTCCTTGGACAAGTTGCTCATGGTGTTGCGGGAGGGCAAAATGTGTGGGTGAGGGAAGCCCATTCCCTCTCCATGTGAGGAGACCCGGCTTTGTAACCAAAGCATCTTCAGCGATAGGATGGGAGACCACCAGGAGAGGTCAGGAGGGGACAAGGGGATGGTGAAAGGGCAGCAGAGCTGCTTGGGGCCAAATGCTAAGGCAGGACTTCCCTCAGACCCTCCCTCCCTCTCATTATAATCTATCTTCCTTCCTTCCTTTCCCCCTTTCTTCTTTTTCCTTCCCTCTTCATTCTTCTTTCCTTCTTCTTCCTTCCCCTCTTTTCCTTCTTTTTGTTGGTCTTTCCTCTTTCCCTTTCTCCTTTCCTGTCCCTTCTTGGATGCTCAAATGCAAAAGGGGAAACATTTCTCGATGCCTCCTTGGCTTGTGATCAAATGCCACTTTTGTAACTAGTCTGTTGCCATTTAAAAGACCGAGAACAAACCAGGCTCAGTTTATCCCATGCTTATATTTAGTGAGGGCATCCACAGACAACAGTACAGCATAACTGTCAAAATGGTGGCTGTGATAATTGATCAGAGCTTCTCTGTTTTTTTATGTGCAACGGCTTTAGCATTTAGGAACAGAGGTGAGTTAGTTGCTTTTCTATTAATACATAATCCTTTTAAAAGAGCTCTCCTGCAGGGACCCTGCCATGGTCTAATTCAGACTGGAAATATAGCAAAAGAAAATATTTTCCCCTACTCTGCTTTGTCCTGTTTTCCCAACTGGAAATGACTGTTTGCAACATACAAGGAAGGGATACTTTCCTAAGAGTTCACAATCAAGAATACCAGTGTTAACTTAGATTGCCAATAAAGTCCTGTCTGTGACAAAAGAGAACACAAAATTGCTTTGAGTCCAAGTCTCAATGGATCCAGGATTGAAGCAGAACTGCATGAACTGGGGCATCTCCAACCAAGTTGCCTCTCCTTCCTTTCTTACTTTTTTCCCTCCCTCCCTCCCTCTGTTCCTCCCTCCCGCCATTCCTCCCTCCCTTTTTTCCCACCCTCCCTTTCTTCCTTCCTCCGTTCTCATCCTTCCTCCATGCTCAGGAAGGGGTGATGGGAGGGGGAGAGATTGCCAGCGCTGCCATGTTGCTGCCGGTCTTGCTATACCACGTGGGCAGTCGGGGGCTATCCCGGTGAAAGGAAAGCCTCGTGGTGCGAGGCTGGAGGTGCTGGTGGGAGGAGGGGTTGCATCCATCAACCTGGTTGCATCCATCAAAGCCAGAATGCACTCAGCCTTAGATCCACGGAGCAACCCTGGAACCAGCCTTGGAACCAGCAAGGAGCTGCCCTGCTGCCTCTGTCCTGCCCCCCCCCCGGTGTGCGCACAGGAGACGGCCAGCGCCAGTGTCCTGGATGAAGTCAGCCTGCAGGGCAAGATAGCCAGCAGGAACACTGGACTCCACTTGTGTATGTGCCCAGAGGGCGGGGCTGCCATCTGGATCTAAGGCTGAGCGCCTTCTGGCTTTGATAGACACAATCAGGTTGTAGATCAGTGCCGCCACCCCTCCCACCATGACCTCCAGTCTCGCAGCCATGAAGCTTTCCTTTCACTGGGACAGCCCCCACACGCCCACGTGCGACAGCAAGATCGATGGCAACATGGCAGCGCTGGCAATTTCTCCCCCTCCCATCATCCCCCCTGAGCACGGAGGAAGGAAAGAGACGAGAAGGAGAGAAGGAGAGAAGGAAAGAACAAAGATTCCATGGGGCAGCCCTGGAATCAGCAAGGAGCTGCCTTGCCGCCTCTCCCTTGCCCCCTGGATGTGTGCAAAGGAGACGACCAGCACCGGCATCCTGGGTGAAGTCAGCCTGTGGTGCAAGACCACCAGCAGGGATGTTAGACTCCGCTTGCGTGTGTGCCCAGGGGGCAGGGCAGGACTTCCCCATATATTTAAGGCTGAGTGTGTTTTGGCTTTGATGGACACAACCAGATTATAGATCAGTGCCCAATCGGCCTGGGTTGGGCTGAGATGCGGCAGACTGGTTCTTTGCTGTTTCCGGAGCAGATCCCTGGGCCGGATGGAACTACATAGCGGGCCGGACCCAGCCTGCAGGCCTTGTGTTTGACATGTCTGATCTAAAGTGTATAATTGTAGTTGCAATACTGGGAGATGGGACTGTGCAGATTTTTCTCCTTTTCATCTTAAATCCTACAGATAGTCCTCAACCAACAACCATAATAGAGCCAGCCATTATGATTGCAAGTCATAATGGTGGTTAGGCAAGATTGCCTCACTTAACAACTCCCCTCCAAATCTCTCTGATGCAGTCATTCATCAATCAATCAATCAGAATAGAGCTTGGAGATCTTCTAATCCAACCCCCTGCTCAAGCAGGAGACCCTGTACCATTTCAGATACATGGCTGTCCAGTCTTTTTTAAAAAACCTCCACTGATGAAGCACCTACAACTTCTGAAGGCAAGCTGTCTACTGGATAATTGTCCTCACTGTTAGAAAGTTTCTCTTTAATTCCAGGTTGCTTCTCTCCTTGATTAGTTAAATAATCATCTGGATTAAGAGAAGCATTGGGAGGCTCAGGGATGGGAAAGGCCCTGGAAAGCTTAGAACAGGCCAGGTCCATCTGCTGTAGGCCTTGCAAGACCTCTCTCACTCTGAGACACTTCATGCAACATTTCCTTCCCCTCACAATTCCCACAGCCCTTTGGTATTCTTTACCCTCCACCTAGTCCCAACAGCACTCCTTCCCCCCCCAAGATTCCCACAGATCTTGTCCCTACTTTCCACCCAACTGACCCTACTCCTACTTTGCCTAGCTTTCCAAGATTTCCAGAGTTTCAGAGCTTGGGTTAGGGAACACTTCATTGCTGGGCCAAATGGCAGGATCCCAGAAGCAGCTGTCATTTTCCAAATGGCAACACTGAATAGTGATTACTCAGAAAATGGTGGCCATTTCCAGGATCACTCCACATGGCCCAGCAATGAAGCAGTCTGTTCTGCTTCCCTAACACAATCTATCCAGAGTTTTCCGCAGCAATGTGTAGACCATATTAGGAAAGCAAAACGAATTGCTCCTTCCTGGGCTACATGGCTACAACCTAGAACAAACTGCCTTTTCAGTGCTGCCACAATTCAGTGCATCTGATTGACAGCCACTGGGATGGTGCTAGGTGGCCTAGTAACAAACCAACTCGGTATGCTTCCCTAATCCAAACTGCAGACCTCTGGAGATCATGAAAGATAAGCTAGCAGTATAGGGCCTAGTGGGGTGGGAAGCAGGCTGTGGGGACATGGCTGTGGGTGAATGGGAGGAGATAGGCAGGGGGGGCACTGCAGTATCACTGTGGGTCGGTCATAAGGGCACTACAGTAGTCATGAATTCAGGACCCAGTCATAAGGACCTTTTTGGGGGGTGAAAAGATTGCTATGCTATCAATCACGTCAATGACTATTTGTACTTAATGTGTCCCTCTATATTCAATAAAAATGATTATTGTACCTGGAGAGTTACTGATTCGATGTATTTTTTTAGAGTAACATTAAAATGTATTCATCAAGGCCTCCGGTTCTGCGCAGCTAGTGTTACAGTTGAGGGATCGAGATGATCCAAGCCCTACGGCTGATTTCTCTCTGTTTGGGGACCCTAAATGGGCCCAAAGCCACCCAGGAGAGGTGGCAAGGAAGGAGGGAAGCCCCATTGATCCTGGGGAGATGGTGGTCGATCTGGACGTCTGAGGAAAGCTCTCCAAAAACCAACAGAAGGCTAGCGTCATTCATGACTCCAGCCCAAGCTACATGCAGCCGAAGCCAAAAAGCACTAAACTAAGCATGATTGTAAACAGTGTGCGTGAACTGGGTAAGAATATTGATTTTCTTTCTTCTACCTGATTGATTTCCTGAGAGAGAAAAAAAAAAGAGAGGGGGGGGAGAGAGAGACGGGGAGAGAAAACATTGTGGACTATCTACAAAGTGAGAACTATAAAACTTCAAAAAAAAATTGACCTTCCTGGATTATAAATATTTTTAAAATTGTGACTTTAAAGTAATTGGCAGAGAAAGGATTTTTGGTCATTACGGAGCAGCAGAGATCTGCAGAAAGAACATATCAAGAAAAAATAAATACTTACCAGGAGGAAATGTATGTTCTGTTACAACAAATGCAAATGATACTAACTTTAAACCATGAGGAACTTAAAAATGAATTTGAAAATTTAAAGGAATGCATTCTCAATTTAATGTCACAACAATTAAATGATCAGAAAACAAAAAAGTGAGAGATTATGTAAACAGACAACTGAATATAAACTAGTGGAGACTCAAGGGGTGAAAGATTTACAAGAAACATTGAACATGGAAAAGATAACTTGTATTCTAAGACCTAAAGTAAATTTGAGGATAAGGAAAAAGATTTGACAAAATGGACTGCTGAGCTCTTGGGAGTACCACAAGAAATGGGGAGACAAGGGATAACAAGAGAAATATTCAATGAATATGAAGGGGCAAAATCTTTTTACAAATACATGATGTTTGATTTACCTATTATATCCACAACAACATCTGCAAAATTATGGAAAGACTCTTTGATTCAGTGGAATATTGTATATTGATTGGGAAAGATGCTTGGCAAAAGAAGAGAGCTAAAGAGAGAATTGAGGAATTAGATGATGGGATGTATCAGAGGGAATATTTAAAAATTAAACACTTGTTGGAATATGGCTGAAGAAATAGATTTTAGTTTAAAAGGGATAAACCCTCCAAGTAAGACAATATTTTTTTCTTTTCTCTTCTTTTATTTTGTTTTTTGATATGAGAAATATAAAAATGTTTGGGATGATCAATATAAAGGAATATTTAGATATTTAAATTAGATATTAAATTAGATAATTAGATATTTAAATATAATTGATTTTAAGAAAATGCCAATGGATAACTAAAAAGGGAAAAATGTTTTGAATAGAGTTAAAAGATTAGATGATTAGATTTATTAAATGGAACATTTAAAGATTAAACATGGTTTAAGTATAGGTAAACAGAACAGAGAAAAATTGGAAATAATTATATACTAGTTCAAGAGGGATCTGTATTTTAAATAGTATATTATTTTGTTATTTTTTCTCTCTTTTTTTCTCTCTCACGTCTTTTCTTTTCTATTTTTTCTTTCGTGTCTTTTTCCTATTTATTTTTTAGGACATCAAAATAGATTTAAATACTTTAAGGTAATTAACTCTGGGAAAATTTTAACCAGTAGAAATGTTCTGAACATTGATGGGGAAATAAATTTAAATAAGAATTGTAAACAGGATTCATGACGAGACAACCAAGATGACTAGATAGAAAAGAAGCATGATATTGATGTGACTATTATTGGTAGAAATTTTAGAAAAATCTTTATATTTAATTGTTATCTATCAAATAAATTAGAATTGTATTAATTTAAGGTTACAAAGAGAATATGATTGGAAGAAGAGAAAATCAAGCAAAGCTATTATATGGACTTTGGAATATAGAAACTAACAGTTAGTGATTACTTTGTAAACATAAACCCAGACAACATGCTGTTTACCAAATATCTATGTTAAAAAAAATCAATAAAATATAAATATTTAAAAAAAGATATTCATCAAATAGATAATTTATTATTTTAACCAAAACAATTTAAAAACTGAGGATCTACATTTTAAAACCAACTAGGTATGCAGATCTCATTATACAAATACTATTATTCAATTATTATACAAATGCTTAAATATCAGATACATCTTTAGAAATTAACAAATACTACTTGTATTTCATTCTAATTTGCATACCATTTTCATTTTACTTATTGGCATTATAGTTTTAATTAATTTTATTGTTCTATTCTGATGAATTAGTGTGCAGACATACTGCAAAATAAATATAAGCATCATTAAATGCCACACCTTTATATCAAATAACGCCTTTCAGTGTGTCTAATGGGAATGAGATATAACAAATGGCATCAATGCATTGCTATAGTATCAACAATACTAACCTTATTTAAGATGAAAAATCTGATCAAGAGAAACAGTGCACCAGACATCATACCAGATAATAGTGGGGAGATAAACCAGGAAGCAACTGAATATAAATTCAAAGAAATGTTACATTCAATAATTGGCAAGGTTCCATCCAATGTAAAATTCTGCTAAAGAATAACTTGTTCTTTATGTTACTTTCTAATAATTGTTTAAATAGACTCAAAGTTTGCAATAGTGGCGAATAGCTGTAGTTTGAGTATAGGATGAGGATGAAGGTTCATTCTTGGAGTTTGTGGGTTGGCTTCAAACGATTCTTACCAGACTAGGTAACATCTTCAGCAGCTTTTAGGGGATGTCTGTGTCAGCACTGACACAGACATCCCCTAAAAGCTGCTTAAGATATTACCTAGTCAGGTATCGAAAAGTTCATAAATCAAACTACAAGCTCAGAGAACAGAACCTTCACCTTCAGACTCAAAGTCATTTTTAAAAAGTGTAAAATTCAGCCAAGGGAAAGATGTTTGAATCCAACTGATTTCAATAAAGATGTTATATGCCTCTTATACTAATTAAGTTTATATTTAAAAGTACTTTTAAATATAAATGTCCAAAATGTCATCAGAATTTTTTATTCTGTGCTGTCAAGTCGAGTTTGCTTAGTTTTTCTTTGTATTAAATGTTCATCTTACTTTTTTTCCATATAGCTTTTACTGTTTAAAATCAACACCAGAGTTCGATTTCTTGAAGTTTAAAAAAAACACCTTTAAAATGAAAAAAGTGTATGTATGTATGTATGTAAAAGTGGTTCATCTGATAGTATAAAGAATGTCATATAAATTAACTAAATAAAAGTACTACTGAAGTTTATAAATAAATACTGAATTTATAGTTTAAATTCTTAAGCAATCTTTTAAAAATAACAGTAACATATAAAATATATAAACTAACAAGGAATAAAAATATAACAAGATTCTGCTGAACACTGTGTGAAACCAATATGCATTCTCTAATTTTGCTCTACCTCAATTAATTTTACTAAATTTAATTGGTTGCGGAAATAGATCAACATAATATTTCAGTAATACTAAAAGTTTCCGTAGCTTAACAGAGTTTTAAGAATACTTTATTTTTTAACGCAGCTATGTTACATAAGAGAGCTAGTTTGCTCTAGTAGTTAAGGTAGTGTTTCTCAACTATAGCAACTTCTGGGAGTTGAAGTCCACATTATCTTAAATTTACTAAGATTGAGAAATGCTACATTGAGCTATCAGGCTAGAAACTAGGAAACTGCGAGTTCTAGTTCTGCCTTAGGCACAAAGCCACCTAGATGATCTTGCGCTAAGAACTTTCTCTCAGCCCTAGAAAGAAGGCAAAGGCAAACCATTTTTGAAAAAACCTCAGGGACTTATCAAACTGGTCTCTGAGAATAGGACATAGTTGAATGGAAGAAAACAAATTACACTATGAATAGTAGCATTTATATTATAAATAAAAATTATAGTATGGAATTCAGGGCCTGTGACATCTGAAATTGTATTTCAATTTGTAAATGTCTTTTGTCTTAATTAACCCTGAAATTCGTTAAAACGAAAATAATCATATGACTCAACCATTTTTTTCGCCCTTTTCCTTTCAGAGAGTGATTAATATACTTCTAAATGGCTAACCCCTAACCTAATACATTATAGATACATAAGCATTTAATTATCAGAATTCCTGTGCATCTCTTGCCTGGAGAGTCTAATTTTTGTATAGTATCTTAATGAAACTATAATTTACAATGATGTCTGAACTACAAACAGTAGCATTCCAGACAAAACATATTTGAATATAACTATCACAACTTTTCAAAACACTTTTTAAAATTCATTGCATGTTATACATAAAGAGAATGTAATTTACCAATCTTGATAAGTTCCATCCACTGGACTCCTTGTGTGCCAATTGCAACTAATGAGAAACCTATAGTAGAACCCACTATACAATGAGTTCCAGATATTGGAAGTTTCAAAAATGATGCTATCAGCTGCCAAACAGCAGATCCTAAAATGTAAAGTATAAAGAGAACAATCAAGACAGGACATTTTAACATTCTGGAATATTAGAATTTGAAGTCATCCATATAGTCTTGCAAAGGCAAGAAACTCCTTATAAAGGGTGAGAGTTACTGGATGCCACCAATTCAATTGAGAAATGATTTGCTCTCTACTAATTTCAGTTCAAATATTCTTATTTTCTGTAGTGTAATAAAAGATCTTCAGGTTAGCAAATATTCTTATATCATCATATATTTTATTGTTCCACTTTTATGAATACATGCCCTTAATAAGAACAAACGACTAATGGTGCAAATATATTTATTTCTTTTATTTGGGTAATTTCATTGTCAAATATGGGATTCTGATAACTATCCAACCCACACAATTTTCAATAACTCATCACTATCTACCATTTCAGGATATCTGACAGAGTTCTACTTATACCATATTTCAATAAGACCCAGTATCTCACTCATAGCTGTAGAAAGACACGGAGTTTATACAACAAACTATCAGTTTAATATAATTGTTTGAGTCTAATACTTTTGTGAATTTTTGGGATTACCACTGCCAGTAATCCTCAATTTGTGACTATAATTGGGACCAGAATTTCTGTGCTAAGCAAGATAAATTGTTGTTATGTGGGTCAGGTCCAACTGTACCGTTTTTTTGCCATAAATCTTAAATGAATCATTGCAGTTGTTAAGGCAATCATGCAGTCATTAAGCAAATCTGGCTTGACGAAAGTCAGCTGGCAAGGTCACAAATTGGGATCACGTGAGCACAGGACATTGCAACTGAATTAAGTATCTCAGTTACCACATGCCCAAATTTTGATGATGTGACCATAGGAATGCTACAATGATTATAAGTGCAAAGATCATTCATAAATCACTTTTTGAATGCCGTTGTAACTTTAAATGGCTGTTAAATGAATGGTTGTAAGTACTGTATTTCTTTTCCGTACTTCAGCCACTTCAATAAGGGTACATCGAGCCAACAAAGCAGATATTACAAGCTAATAAATTGTTGGATGCAGTGTATAAGGTAGAAACAAAGAAACATTCAAATAATCTAAAAGGGAAATTATCTTCATGGTTAAAGTAATCCTTGTAGTACATGTAATCTTATATTAACAAGCATTTTCTTCTTGAAACAATTGCTACATTAGGAAATGTACAACTGCAAAATATTTACTAGCAATAGTAATCCACAAAAGTGTTGGACTCTTAACAATTTATTTTTATATATATTAGTTCATTTGTTTCATTATCTGGAACTATACACAATAAAAATTTGATTTGCTGATTACCATTGAAGAAATAAACAGGGCTCTAGCATCATTTTAAAGAAAGTCACACCAATGAGTTGCAGGAAATAACTCAAACACAAACATTTAAAGTGTACAGGAATGAAAGAGAAGGATAGGCATTGTAATAAATAAGGGAGAAAGGAAGGAATCCCATGTGCCAATAAAAAAAAATATTCATATGGCATAGCACACTTCAAAAATACTTTTTTCAATTCTACTTCTGGAATGTTTTGAACTAATTAACTGTCATTCTCAACAAATCAAAGGGGGTAAAGGCAAAACCTGATTAAATAATTGCTTTATATGATAGATACATCTAAAACTAAAATATACTTCGCTCTAGCTAGAAGTACTAAATAATATTCACACCCAAAGGTATTATCAGAAAAGTACCCAGATTTCACTCAGAAATTTTTTGGCAGTGGTTTGTCAAAAATTATCTACATGCCATTTGCATCAACTAAGCCAGGGCTTTTCAATCTTTTCAACCATTGTACCACTTTTAGGATATGGCAACATCCGAGCACCAACAGTCGCCTAGCAAGGTGTCAAAAACTTGATGACCCCCCCCAAAGGAAAAAAGTAATGAAGTACAGGTAGTCCTCGACTTACAACAGTTCGCTTAGTGACTGTTTGAAGTTACAATGGTACTGAAAAAAGTGCCCGCAAGCCACAGCCGAGCAAGATACCTGCCTGCCCACCCGCCCGTACTCTTCCTCCTGTCCGAGGTTTTCATTGTTGTGAGCATTTCTGTTGAGGATTGGCAGCGGGGATGGGGGGGGTGTTTGGTTTTTATTCTCCCCGTCTGCTGGGTAGTTGCAGCAGGCTTTGGTCACTTCACATGACCCTGGGACACTGTGACCATCATAAATATGAATCAGTGCCAAACATGTGAATGTAAATCACAAGACCCTGGAGATACTGCAGCATTCCAGCTGATCGGCGCTTCTTCTAGGCTCAGAAGTGCCAGAATCAGCACCGAGGTCCAGCTGGAGCTTGGCGCTGATCCTGATGCTTCCACTGAGCCCTGACAGCCCCGAAGAAGCACTGATCCTGGAGCTTCCACTGATCCCTGCAGCTCCAGCTATCTCTTGCTCAGGCTTGTGCGGTGCTGCCACCAGTTCAGCTCATTTCCCTCCCCCGCTACCACTTTTCTCGGATGGTCACATACTACCTGCCAGGTGCCAATGTATCACAGGTGGTACCACTGGTTGAAAAGCCTTGAACTAAGCTGAGCAAACATTTATTATTTTAAAAGTGATAAAACAATGACAACAACCCCTCTCAAAAAGATCATTCTATTCTCTTTTAAAATAATCTATTAACATAATATACCACTCCTTTTATGAATTCAACAAGCAAAACACATGACTTATAGTATTATCTTTCTAAGCAAATTAGGTTTTTTTATTCTAACACAACTTCTCACTCCCAAAGCTTACTGTTTAATAATTTATGGTCCCAATGGACTTATTTTGGGGCAACAATAAACTAAAACAGCATCAAAGGAATGCCTTCTGGAAGTGAAAATGTTTGGATGAAATGGTGTTAAAGTTCATTTGATAGCCACAGAACTTAAATTAAATACAAGTGATGAGACATAATTTTAACTGTAACCTATTCTTATACAACTACATTAGGAGTAATCTAAGATTCTTGTTTTGGTTCTAATCAAACATATACATCAAAATTCAGGATAGCAAGACAAATCCAATATTCTAATGTTAACTAAGCCATATTCTGTATTGATATATCCTCGCAGAATGTAGAGTTATATTCTAATCCCTCTAAGGGAGGAAGAAACACACCCTTCATAAACAAACTTGGACATAATATTTTATGCGGACTCCATTGCTTTGCCATTCATCTAAAATTAGACCTATATATCAATTAAAAATATTTTAATCATTATCTGTATTTAATCATTAACAGTCAAAGTATTTTAAATAACCTTAAAATTTTTAGAATTAATTGATTTGCAACTGCATATAAGACTCCATCCATTTTTAAAAGATGAAAATTAATATAACTGCAAATAGTAGAACAATTTTTTTATGATGACAGTGGAAGTAAGAAAACATATGCTTTTAAATGAGATGTACATTTTTCTATCCATACAAATTTCTGCTGGGTTAAAAAACAGGATGTATCCCTCCCATTTTTGTTTTCATTTTCAAGTGTGATACAATTTAAGACAGCATTTTTATCCTCAACATTTTGTCTTATGGTTAAATGTTCATATAAACTAATAAATCAAAATATGGTACTTGACAGCCTATTTAATGAAGATTCCAATCCTATTCCGAAGCCAAAAAAGAAAGTATCCATACTTTTTGGTTATTGCTGTTATCTGCCTTCTCTGTACAATTCAAGTGGGAGGGAGCAACAGTGCAACCGCATAGCACTGTACAGGCTCAGAGTTGTGGACAGTCCCAGAACAAGCAAGTCAAGCTCCCAAGAATATCCTCCTGCCCCTCGGTCTCAGAATGGATCCCAGCAAATGTTTTGAAATGTCATCCCTTGAGGGCAATCTGATCTGCTCACTAGAAGCAGAGGGCTGTATTCTTTTGATAAGATCAAATCGCATTTTCCTAACTCATGTTTGCATTGTTGTGTGGGGAAGAAAATAGGAGCTTCTTGTGGCTTATTTTCCCCAAGCTCCAGTGTAAAGAAAAGAAATTACTGTTCTCCCCAAACCCTCACCATGTTCCAAAGAACAGGAGACAGTGACTGTAAGCACAAATACAATAGATTCATAAGATAAACTAGTATTTTAAGATTTCTTTTTCATAAAAATTAATAAAATTATAAATACAAATCTAAGTCACCAATATTTTAAGTATACTACAGTGATATGTAATGTTATGTTATCTTGCCAATATCTTGTTATATATTACTCTTTTAATAGTTTTAGAATGTCATACACTATATTGAAATAGTAAATAAACAGAATCCTTAGAAAGACCGATTATAATTCAAATCTTTTAAACTTAAGAATGGGCAATATTTTCTTTCCTAAAATAATATAATCAACTACAGATAATATTAATCTTGCTCTAAACCAACTGTGATCTGAATCTATGGTAAAAAAAGGTATAAAATTAACTTCTATTAATTTTAAACTACTAAAGGCATCTGGCCAAGGAAGAGCGTGCAGAACCCAATTCCAGGGCCTGCTCTTGACTTCTCAATAACTTCCTCAATCTCCATGGAATTTTGTAGATTGAGAAATGTGCAAATTATTACTTTAGTTTTACCAAGATATAAGAACTTTTAATTGTTTGAAAAAAAATAAATACTTAAGAAAAATAAGGTTACTTACCAACCATTGCACTGACTTCTCCAGCCATAAGTAGACCTGTTGAGTTGTCATAGAAGTTCACATCAATTATACCTTTACGAATGGTTTCACCTACTTTTGCTCCCAGCAATACTGAACCAGTAGTTTCAAAAATTGAAGCAAGGATACAGGCTTGGCGCAAAGTAACTACACCAGAACCCACAGCAGTACCAAAAGAATTTGCAACATCATTTGCACCAACTGAAAATGCTAAAATAAAAGCAATGATAAAACCCACAACGACCATCCACAGATATTCTTCCAATGCCATTTTTCTCCGAGTGCTCTTGTAGTTCAGATTCCCATTTAAAACTATTTTAATTAAACAAAGCTGAAAGGTAGTGAGCAGATTTAAAAGCTGATTTTATGCACACAATGAGTTCTCTCTGGAAAGTGCTGTGTGATACAGGAGCGTGAAGAAACTGCTAACTGGTGATTTTCAAGCTACTGTCAATACTGTTTGTTTGGCTTAATTCAGTCACCAGCAAGATCCATTCCATATTTTGCTTCAGTAGGTTTACAGTTGTAGTGATCTCTCCTACAAAAAGAAAAAAAAGAAAAAACTAGAATCAAACACTATATAATTATAAATAAGAAAATCTAGAATGTCATATGATACCCTGGTAACTACAGACAAAATGGCTGAAGTCAGATTAAAACTGACAGTACTTAGGGGACAATAATAAATTATAATTGAGACTTTTCTACTTCCTAGAAAACTTAAAAAATTAAATAGAGACGTAGGCATAATCTTTTGATATTTACCAAGTATCTGTAAGAAAGAATATATTAAATTAATCTTATTATGATTAAGCAAGAATGTCCTTTAGCAAGGATGCCTGCTAAACATAATTAAAGCGTAATTAATCTGTGTGGTTCAAAATAACTTGAATGTGCTTTTTCCTGTGTAAATTTATTATACTTTGTCTCTTGTAAAATAGCAGAGACTGGTATTAACTCCTTGTACTGTTTAGAAAACTGAAAGCATCCTTGTTCCTTAACTAATTAAGTCTATAACATAAAGGCTACTTCATGCAGATTTATCAAAATAATATATTAGTTGCTATTGTCTGTCCTGCTGAACATAGTTTGGGACACATTAACTTTTGAAATACACTACTTGAATTGTAATCACATACATTTTATCATAAACAGAGCTTTCCATTACAATCCTTGTAAAAAATGAATTAAAAAGTCATCTCTTCTAGAAACTCTGAAATCTGATTTTGCTTTAACATATGTAAGAATTTAATACTTTGTGCCAGGTAACTTAAATTCTATTCTAAGAAAGTTAAATTCTGCTACTTGAATGAGTTTTGAATACTTGACAAATACAATAATTCATTAATGTCATTATGTCCACAAATCATAAGAAAGCACTAGCAAAGAACCTAGGACACTGAAGCCTCACACTCAACTACCAGAATTAGCTTCTTTATTTTACCAGTCTGCCCATTCAAGTATTTCTTGTTTAACAACCATAATTGGAATCAGCAACTCAGTCATTAAATTAAGATTGCTAGGTGAAAAGGGGCGTTGTCTTACCTGAACGCCTTTTCTCAGCAGGATGATGTAGAGTCCAATGGATGGGTTCTATGACGGCCTTCCTGCCTGGCAGACTGGGTAAAAACTTCGGCCACACCCCTTCCTTTGGGCGTGACCCGTTTTGACTTAGGCGAGAAACTTCGTTGGAATTAACATTGCAGCTCTTTATTATTTCCCTGTCTTTATTATTTCCCTGCCTAGACCTAACCTTTGGGTGGGCTTGGACTCTACATCATCCTGCTGAGAAAAGGCGTTCAGGTAAGACAACGCCCCTTCTCCAGCAGGATGGCTGTAGAGTCCAATGGATGGGACATACCAAAGCCCTCATGTCCCCCTGGGAGGGAATGTCTAGGCTACCGAACTCTGAGCAGATACGACTTGCTGAAGGACTCTTCTGCCAAAGGCCGCGTCTGCTGCTGCAAGGGAATCTAAACGGTAACGCCGGATGAAAACCGAAGGTGAAGACCAGGTTGCGGCCTTGCAAATTTCTTCTACCGGTGCTTGCGTTAGCCACGCCGCAGATGTGGCTGCGCTCCGAGTTGAGTGGGCAGTCACATGAGTGGGTGCTGGCAGATCCTGCGAGGTGTAGGCTTGTGCTATGCAGGCTCTGATCCACCTGCCTATGGTAGAAGAAGAGACCTTCTTTCCCATAGATGATGGTTGAAAAGACACAAATAATGCTTCGGTCTTTCGGAAGGCCGAAGTGCGTTTCACGTAGAAACACAGCGCTCTCCGCACGTCCAGTTTGTGCCATCTATGTTCTAGCCTATGTTTGGGTTTTGGACAGAAATCAGGAAGAGTCAGTTCCTGAGATCTGTGAAAGATGCTATTTACCTTCGGGATGAAGGCTGGATCTGGTCTAAGAACGACCTTGTCCTTGAAGAAGGTACATAGATCCTTCCTTACTGACAGTGCTGCTAGTTCTGAAATTCTCCTTGCTGAAGTAATTGCCACAAGGAAAGCTACCTTCAGTGATAGGTGATGGAGGGTACAAGATTCGAGGGGCTCGAAGGGTGCTGATGTCAAGGCTAGAAGGACCTTAGGCAGGTTCCAAGACGGGTACCTGTGTATGACGGGGGGGTTTGTGTTAGTTGCCCCTTTTAAAAATGCATTAATCGCTGGATGTTGCGCTAGGGAGGTTAAGTTGTCGCAGGAGAGTACAGTTGAAAGAGCCGATATCTGTCTGCGGATAGTGTTGACTGATAGGCCCTTATTAAGACCCTCCAAGAGGTAATCTAGGATATTAGGGATGGATACTGCGGTCGGATCTAGGCGAAGAGGGACGCACCACCTACAAAACCCCTTCCATGTAGCGTCGTAAATCCTGTTAGTGGACGCTCTTCGTGATGCCTGTATGATCGATATCACCCCTGCCGAATAAGATTGTTTGGCTAAGCTTTGCCGCTCAAATGCCAGGCGGCTAGTTGTAGCCACTGGGGGTCTGGGTGTGCCAGCTTGCCCTGGCTGAGCCTTACCCTGTCCGGGGGAATCCTCCACGGGGGTGATATCGAAAGGTCCACGAGGTCGGCAAACCACGGGCGCCGTGGCCAATGAGGGGCAATGCAGACTATCTCTGCGCCTTCCAGGATCAACTTGCGTATGGTCGCCGGTATTAAAGGCAGCGGTGGGAAGGCGTACAGCAGTTGCTCCGGCCACCGACGCCTGACAGCATCCGTTCCCTCCGATCCCGGAGACGGGAATCTGGAGAAGAACCTGGGAAGTTGTGTGTTCATGTGGTTGGCAAATAGATCTAGATGCGGTTGTCCGAATCTCCGGGAGATCTCCTCGAACAGAGCTGGATCCAGACGCCATTCCGACTGGTCCACCTTGGCTCTGCTCAGGGAATCTGCCTGGGTGTTTGTCTCCCCTGAGATGTGTTCCGCTCTGATGGAACTCACATTGGTTTCTGCCCAGCGAGCCAGAACCAATGCCTCCTTCATCAGTTCCACTGATCGCGTTCCTCCCTCCTTGTTTACATGTGCCTTGGCTGCTACATTGTCTGTTAGTACGAGGACATGCCTCCTCGTTACTAGGTGTGAGAAATGACGAAGAGCCAGGTGGATGGCCCGGAGTTCTAACCAGTTGATGCTGTGTGACAGGTCCTCCTGTCCCCACTGGCCCTGTGCTATCTGGGTTCCCAGGTGGGCTCCCCATCCGAACAAGCTCGCGTCTGTCGTGAGTGTGACCCTGTTCGGTTCCCTGAATATGCTCCCCTTGAGTGTCGTGGGGGATAGCCACCATTTTAGTGATCTCCTCACCTGTACTGGTACCGCCACTCTCCTGTTGGAGGTGCTGAGGTTCCTCCTCTGGTAGGGTAGAAGGAACCACTGTAACTCCCTCGAGTGGAGCCTTGCCCATGGGATGATGCCCATGCAAGATATCATCTTTCCCAGGAGTTTCGAAAGCTGTATCAAGGGCACTCTCCTGATCTTTTGAATTTGGTGAATTAGCTTGGATATGCTGATCAGTCGCTCCTGGGAAAGGTATACCCTGCACTGTGACGTGTCTATCACTGCGCCTAGGTGTTGCAGTCTCCTTGAGGGGGTGAGATGGCTCTTGTTTAAATTGACCAAGAACCCATGCCCCTGCAGGGTTTGGATTGTGGTCTTGAGATCTGCCCTTGCTTGTTCCTGAGATCTGGACTGAATCAAGATGTCGTCCAGATAGAACTGTACGCGAACCGGCATCAGCCTGAGATGGGCCGCTATTACCGCTAGGATTTTGGTAAACACCCTTGGTGCTGAGGATAGCCCGAAGGGTAGGGCCCTGTATTGGTAATGCCGGCCCGCGTAGATAAATCTGAGGAATTTCCGGTAGCTGGGATGGATGGGAATGTGTAGGTACGCCTCTGTGAGGTCTATTGAGGACAGTAGATCGTCTTCCCTGATGCTGGCTAGGATGGATTTCAAGGAGTGCATCTTGAACCTTCTGTACTTTATGTAATAATTCAGGCCCTTTAGGTCCAATATTGCTCTCCACCCTCCTGATGTTTTCGGGATAACGAAGAGGATGGAATAAAATCCTCTTCCTTCCTCTTCCATTGGTACCCTCTCTATGGCCCGAATTGACAGGAGGTGGGCTATGGCCGAAGTTATCAGCCTTGTCTTGTGTACCTTTCTGGAGATGGGGCATCTGATGAACCGGTTTGGTGGGGGAGAGCAAAAGTCTAAGGTCAGGCCATGCCTGATCGTTTCCAGGACTCAGGCGTCGGTAGTGGTCTGCTCCCAGACCTCGATGAAATTTCCTAACCGACCCCCGATGGGAGTGTCCTGTTTGGCATCACTTGGTACGCTTAAAGGATCTGCCCCCCGCTCCCCTATATGGACGTCTGGACTGGAACTGGCCTCTGGCTCCCAGGCTTTGGCGATCCTGGTGTCGATCCTGTCTCGGGTAGAAGGTTCGTGAGCCTCTGGGCCAGTCCCAGGATTGCCCTGATCGAAAGGGCTGTCTCCATTCCCAGGGCTTCCTGAACGGGAGCCCTGTCTCCGGAAATCTAGACTGCCTCTCCTGTCTAACTTCTTTGATGGATGTACTAGAATTTTCTTCTTGTCTCTGCCTTCGCTGATATGTGGGTCCAGTATGGAACCAAATAAGGTTTCTCCGCTGTATTTGGACGTCGAGAGACGCCATTTGGACCTCAGGTCTGTCTTCCAATTTTTGAGCCACAGTAGCCTACGCGAGGCCACTGTGGCCGCAATGGATCTTGCCGCATACTTTGTTGCGTACAGCGAAGCGTCAGACACGAATTGGGAGGCCGCGAGGAGCTTGGCCAATGTTTGGTGTACTCTGACCTGGTCTGGAGGCACCGTGCCTTGCAGTTCCCTCAGCCACATGATACAGGCCCTCGCGAAGAATGATGATGAAGTGGCTGCTCTGGCCGCCCAGGCTGCAGCCGTGTGGGAACGACGGAGGGAGTGTTCAAATTTCTTCTCCTCGGGTTTCAAGACCTCCGCCATGTCTCCTGGAATCGCGGAGGTAGAAAATAATGAGATC